TAGTAGATACTAATATACTACTACATTAGATATCTATGTAGTATCTACTACTTAGATACTAATATAGTAGTATTTCTCTTTTAAATATACTAAGAGTTTTTTTTTTTTTTGAGACAGAGTCTTGCTTTGTCACCCAGGCTGGAGTGCAGTGGCACGATCTCAGCTCACTGCAACCTCTGCCTCCCAGGTTCAAGTGATCCTCCTCCCTCAGCCTCCCGAGTAGCTGGGACTACAGGCATGCACCACCATGCCCAGTTCATTTTTGTATTTTCAGTAGAGATGGGGTTTCACTGTGTTGGCCAGGCCGGCCTTGAACTCCTGACCTCAAATGATCTGCCCACCTTGGCCTCCCAAAGTACTGGGATTACAGGCATGAGCCACCACGCCCAGCCTTAGAAATATTACCTGTTGAATGATAGTTCACATATGTGATAAAATTTGTGAAATGTGTATGGCAACGACTGTTATTTGGGAAACTTAAGGCTACAGGTGATGACAGGAAGGAGTGTTGAGTATATGTGAATGTATATGTGTGTGCACAGTGTGCATGTTTGTGAGTGTGTGTGGTGTGTGTGTGCAGGTGTGTTCATGTGAGCACATATGTGTGAGCATGTGTGAATGCGTGTGAGTCTATGTGCACGTGACTGTGTGAGTGCATGTGTGTGTGTGTGTTTGTAGGTGAATGTCCACGTGTACGTGTGCGTTGGGGGAAACTGGTTGCTGGTATGGCTGCAGCCTGGGCTCACCTTCTAGGGCAGGTGCAACAGCAGGAGTAGCCCTGGCATCAGGCTTAGGAACTGTTTGCCACATGACCTTGAAGAGAGTCGCTTCCCTCCCTACACCGCAGTGCCCTTGTCTGTATCTACCTGTTTCATCTACCTATCAGGGTCGTTACGAGGACTGAAAGAGAAGATATTTGAAAAAAAAAAAATCTCATAAACTGTAACATGGCACTAAATGGCTAGGACCCAAGACTGGCCTGGGGACAGGAGCGGAGCAGCCTATTGGTGAACAGAGCAGCTGCTTGGGACCTCAAGGCAAAGCCCACCTGCAGCCCAGCCATGAAAAGGGCCTGAACCTTTTTTCCCAAAAAAGCCTGTGCAAGAGTTGATAACAGTTTCACATCCAGGTGATGCCAAAATTCACTACAGTCCCCAAATAAATAAAATGTTTTAAGGTTTACGGTGTTTAGAGGAAACTTCAGAAATCAGCTCACCACTCTCCCGCCCAGCCCCCGTCCTCTCTCGACATAGTCTCCAGCCTGCCCACCCTCAAGCCAGCACCGCACCTGAGAAGTTGAGAGGGGTCCGGAGCCGCAGGAGGGCGACGTCGTAGTCATGATTCTGGGCGCTGTAGAGGGGGTGTGGGATAATCCTCTCCACCACAGCCCCCTGGTGGGGCCTGACGGCACTGTGGCTGACCAGCCCCGCATGCACCCGCCAGCTGGACAGGCGGGACAGCCTGAAACTGCACACAGGGGACCACGCTGAGCGGGGAAGGAAGGAGCAGAAGAGGTGTTCCTAAGTGAAGTAGCAGGTGGAGGAAGCTGGCCAGAGCGGCCATTGGTGGGGGGGCCATTAGCGGGTGGTGAGCTCGCAAGCCCCATGGACCATGCCTCTTAGTATCACCCCAGCAGCTGGCAAGACACTGGGCATGCAGTAGGTGCTTAATAAATGCTCCAGGACTGATGGATGGAGAAGACTATGGGTCATCTGCAACCATCACTCCCTTTTTCCTGCATAACTTCCCTCCAAGTTTTATAGCAAACACATAGAGGGCCTTGTGTCGGAAAAGCTTCCGCTGGTCCTGTCTCTCGACTTACTATGTGTGATCATGAGAGAGGCACTTCTCCCTCCCAGCCTTGGTAAAATGGGGATTACACTCTCTGCCCTGTTCGGCACCAAGAGAAGATCAAAGAGCTATTCACTCATCATTCATTCATTCCTCCAAGTCACATTTATTAAGCACCTACTATATTCCAGGGACTGTTCTAGACCCTGGGGACACAGCAGTGGATAAATCTACAAAGAGATTTAGTGGTAAATAAGACCGAGAGTCCCTGCTCCTGCAGAGCTTCCAGTCTAAAGCGGAAGAAAGATATTAACCAAATGATTACATGGAAAATGATTGAACCAAAGATAAACCTGAAGAAACACAGGGTGCTGTGAATGTGAAAGTATTTTTAACACTTAAAAGCTGATGAGGCCAGGCGCGGGGGCTCACGCCTGTTATCCCAGCACTTTGGGAGGCCGAGGCAGGCAGATCACCTGAGGTCAGGAGTTCAAGACCTGCCTGTCCAACATGGCAAAACCCCATCTCTACTAAAAATACAAAAAAATTAGCTGAGCATGGTGGCTCCTGGCTGAGGCAACAAGAATTGCCTGAACCCAGGAGGCGAAGGTTGCAGCGAGCCAGGATTGTGCCACTACACTACAGCCTGGGCAACAAAGTGAGACTCTCTCTCAAAAAAAAAAAAAAAAAA